ATCCATCACTATGGGAAAGACCCGAGAACACAGTCTTTAGAGAAAATAGCTAAACGGTTGAAAATGCCCATTTCCACTATCATGGCAATAATTAAGAAGTTTTAAAGCAACTGGAGATGTTAACAATTGGCCTGGAAAAGGACATGTGTCTATATTGACCCCACGCACAGGGAGGGAGGATGGTTAGAGTGGCCCAAAAAAAGTACCTCATCCTCACTGTGAAGTATTGTAGTGGATCTTTGATGTTGTGGGGCTGTTTTTCTTCCAAAGGCCCTGGACAACTTGTTAGGATACATTTGATCATGGACTCCATCTACCAGCAGATATTAAATCAACCTGACTGCCTCTGCTAGGAACTTAAACTGGGCCGTGGTTGGATCTTCCAGCAGGACAATGATCCAAAGCACACCTCAAAATCAACACAAAAGTGGTTCACTGACCACATAATCAAGGTTTTGCCTTGATGGCATCCCAGTCCCCTGACCTAAACCCCATAGAAAACCTGTGGGATGAGCTGAAGAGGAGAGTCCACAAGCGTGGACCTTGGAATCTGAAGGATCTGGAGAGATTCTGTATGAAGGAGTGGTCTCAGATCCCTTGCCATGTGTTTACAAACCTCATTACGCATTATAGGAGAAGACTCAGAGCTGTTATCTTGGCAAAGGGAGGTTTCACAAAGTATTGAATCAAGGGATGCCAATAATTGTGGCACACATATATTTAAGAGAAATGTGTTTCATTATAAGAATTTATTTTTCCTTTCAGTTATTTTACTTTAAATAAATGTTCGATTTTTTTTTGTTGTGAATATTTTGAATGACAGACCAGGAGGATAAACAATGAAGAAATTTTTTTCACAGCCAGTTTTGCTAATATTTACCAAGGGTGCCAATATTAGTGGAGGGCACTCTCTGTATCGTATCTGTCCCTAACTATATAAACAATTAAAAATCATGCCACTGGCTTTAGCCAGTACAAAATATATTACAGGCAGTTCTGAAGTTATAGGTTGGTGCAACAAGTCATGCATGCGAAGAGCTTTAGGTTCTGACCGTTATAACGCGTGAACACGTATTTTTGTTGTTATGTTTATTATTAAACATAGGCTATAGGACTAACAAAACATGTTTCCGACACTTGCAAAATTGTTTCAGCTAGATGTTTTTCTTTTTACAAAATATGTGTTTCAGCAATTTATTAAACAGTGTAGAAAGCTGCAGTCTAATCTTTGTTTTTTATGTCAATGTTTGCTTATCCTGGATGAGCAGGAAAACAAATAGACATAGAGAAACACAGAGCACCACGTCAATGTAGACATTTAGGGCTGGTTTCCCAGACACAAATTAAGAATGAACATTTTAATTGAAAGTTTTTTAGTCAAAGACCAGTCTGACAATTGTTAAATCTCTAATCAACTGACAGCTTAGATCTTAGCTAGCTACAAAATCTATTCTAAATGTGCATCAGTCAGGCTTCAGACCAAGGCATAGCAGCATCACTGGTTTTAAATTAAACAGTGGTGGAACAAGTACCCAATTGTCATACTTGAGTAAATGTGAAGATGCCTTAATAGAAAATGACTCAAGTAGAAGTGAAAGTCACCCAGTAAAATACTACTTGAGTAAAAGTATTTGGTTTGAAATATACTCAATTATCAAAAGTAAAATGTAATTGCTAAAATATACTTAAGTATCAAAAGTAAAAGTATAAATCATTTAACTCATTATTAAGCAAACCAGAAGACATCATTTTCTTGTTTTATTTTAATTTACGGATAACTAGGGGCACGCTCCAACACTGACATCATTTACAAATGAAGCATGTGTTTAGTGAGTCATCAGATCAGAGGCAGTAGGGATGACCAGGGATGTTCTCTTGATAAGTGTGTGAATCATATAATTTTCCTGTCCTGCTAAGCATTCAAAATGTAAAGAGTACTTTTGGGTGTCAGGGAAAATGTATGGAGTAAAAAGTACAATATTTATTTAGGAATGTAGTGAAGTAAAAGTTGTCCAAAATATAAATAGTACAGTATAGTACAGATATGCAAAAAAACGACTTAAGTAGTACTTTCAAGTATTTTATTAAGTGGTAAATTGTTTGGATTAGTGTTAATCTCGTCAACAAAAATAGTGACTAAAATATTCACCAAACACCTATTTTTCACGGGGAATTACCAAGACCATAGCCTAACTGGCTAAATATAACAAGAACAAACTATAGGCTGAAATATTTTTCATTTCAATTTACTAAAACCAGTTTTTGGAGAGATTGAGAGCTTTTCCGTGTCTACGCAGCGCCGTTCTGTTCAGCAGAACGCCACAGCCTACATCAGCTGGTGAGTTGCAGGTGAGCAAGAGTTGAGGGTGGGCAGAAAGACAGACAGGCTCCACTCCCATTATAGGCTACACATCGCGCAGGTGACTCGTGCAGTTGACTCTCTCTTTGCCTGGTTAAGAAACACATGCTGCTTTACTCAATTAAAAACAATAGCAGCATTTGTTTAAATAGTGATGCAACAGTCTAGCTATGTTTTCTATCCCTTGAGTGTAGATGTGGGCTGTCTTTTAATTTCTAGTCTCGCTCAAACCTCTCACTTTCCCCACTGCATTTCATAGCCAGGTCCGGTATAGCCAATGTAGCCAAGTCTCCCTCTTTTCCTCAGAGAAGACGGCTTGGTTCTAGCCCTTACAGTTAAAAAGATATGACCCATAATACCGCCGCTACGTTTCTTTTCTTTTCTATTGTGCATTGGCAGGCCTCATTTTAAAAGCGGGCCTAAAACTAGCCTACTTGCGGGCCGGACTGTTAACCATTAAGTTTAGGCTACACCTTGTTTAGTCATGTTACCTTATTAGCTAGCTATAGCTAACATCCTGGGTCGAGTTCAGCATGATGAAATGTTTTGCAATGTACAGATAGAAATATGCTATGTAGAACAAACATGCCTCTGGCATGTTGAATAAGGAATAAAGTATTCTCTATTCATGGGATTTCTATCTGCAACAATCAAGAATATTTTGTAACTTATTGTGGCCCTGGTAACAATATTAGGAAGGTGTTCTTAATGTTTTGTACACTCAGTGTATATTCTTATATTTGTTTGTCATATTTCTGCTGTTGGAAAGAGTATAAGTATGGAGGAAGGCGATGTACGTTTGTGCACATGAAAGTCAGTGATTTATGTTCACTATAGGTTAAGTATCATTTTGACAATAACTAGACTAAATCATTATTCAAATGACAAAAATGTGACTTTATGATATTTTATTCAAAGTGACTAAGACTATACTATTCTTTTGTGCCAAAATCACACTAGTTTGGATAGGAAGAAACGCTGTGCTGCTCTATTCATTGACTTATCTAAAGCGTTCGACACTGTCAACCACTCTTTGCTAATTCAAAGGTTGTCTGAAATTAGCCTGGATCAGGCGTCATGTAGACTACTAAAGATAACGTTAGTAGTTTTGTTAGCTATAGACTGGGTCATTCTAGATAGGTTTAGAGAGGGAATAAACTTATTTTATTAAGTGCTTTTCATTAACACATTGGCCTACCTTGTTTTCCATGAAAAGTTATGGTTGCTCTCTCGTGAGGCAGAACCAGGCATGCAGGTGAGGAAGGTTGTCACTAGTTGTCTCTGTAGGCTGTACCTAGGAGACCACTGTGACTGACACATTTCCATTCAGTTTTTTTGCGCCCCATGTATGGAATGATCTGCAGAGCTCTCTGCACCTTGATACTCTGGTGCCTCAGGTTGTAAATGTTATATAATTTGTGTACCTGCAGGGCTGTCTTGCAAAATAGGTTTTGGTCTCAATGGGATTTCCCTGTTAAAATAAGCTACAAAAAAAGAAAGTAATTTTTTTTTTTATGATTGCATTTCAGTGAATGTGCCATTAACAGCAGAAGAATTTGCGGAGACAGTCTTTATTTCCATGTTTACTTAATTTCAGTGTGTACAAATGGTGATATCTAGAACCTAAAAGGGTTCTTCAGCTGTGCCCATAGGAGAACCCTTTGAATAACTGTTTTTGGTTTCAGGTAGAACCCTTTTGGGTTCCATGTACAACCCTTACCCCAGGGGGCTCTACATGGAACCCAAAAGGGTTCGACCTGGAACCAAAAAGGGTTTTACCTAGAACCAAAAATTGTTCTCCTATGGTGATAACAGAAGAACCCTTTTGGAGAAAAAAAATTCAAAGAGTGCATACAAACAAATTCATAGAGCTACCAGTCCTGGAATTTCTTTCATAACCGTCACCATCACATCAGACCTTTACAGTGTTTCTCGATCGCTTAAGATTCTTTCAATTAAACTTTTAATGAAACTGATCTCCATTATAACCTAATGACCACAATAGTATTATTTTTTGCTATCATACAAAATGCAAATGCTAAACACTTTACAAATGACGCAAAACTCAGTTGAGTAAATCATGTCAAACAAAATGAAAACACTTGGTGACAGCTGATACAAATCACGCCCATGAATGTGAACCTCTTCTGCACGCGTTCAAAACTTATTTGCACAATTGTTCGATCAGCATCCAGGAGATGTTTCCTCGCTGCATTGCAAGGGAAAACATCCAGTGTGACGTGGATGAAAACATGTGGCCTGATCGACAAGAACGACTGGACTGAATGTGGTGTATAATGTATTGGTGTTGGCTTTTTTTGTTATCTTGGTATATTTTATTCTCTGATTTGAAATAACTTTTCATTGGATAACACGTTTTATGTTTTGATGGAGGTAGTTGGTTTTGTTTCATGTATTTAATGTTTTGAGTCTTAATGCATTTAGCAAATTAAATGTGTTATTTTGGCCAACGTGTTTCAGTTGGTGCTGCATGTTAATTGTTTAGAAAAAGTTAATTCTGTTTGGACACGTTTTCTCAAGAAATCGAGAAACTGTTATTTTCTACATTGCTATGTTATTAGAGAAGAACTATGATATTTAAGTCAATGCGTTGATACTGAGTCTCTCTTTCTCTCCACAGTACTCTGTGCAGCCCAGCATTCAGCCCAGCCTGAGACTCGGCAGGTGAAAGGCATTGTGGGAATGTTGATCTATTTTCCAGAGAGGGTGTTGAATTCTGGCAATTTACTTTGTGGAGACCTTGGCAATATTGCACAGGTGTACCCTGTTAAACAAAGTAATACCAACCTTGTGAATAGATTTAAAAACCGCCTTCACTGGAACAATGTCACTGGATTCTTCACTTTGTCAGACCTACAAATAGATGATTCTGGGGTTTATACTGTAGAGAATACAAATGAAGATGAAGGGAAGACGACCCATACATTTCAGCTGACTGTGTACTGTAAGTGTGTGTGTGTTGTAAATTACTAAATCATTAAAGTGGCACTCAGCAGCAGAAACAATACTAAAGTGGTCGCTTTATTGGTTTGGTAAAAAGCTGAGGAATGGGGCTGGAGAAATGTAACCACTCTCAAATTCATAGACAGAGCTATGGTTGCAAGGACTGATCAACCATTATATAAGAAGTATAGTTTTAACCATGTTTTGTGACTATATTGTTTGTTTACAATTTCTTTGTTTACAAACACCGGAGTAAAACAAGCTTATGTGTTCTCTGACAGAGACTAAGCTCATGAGGCATTTATAAGTTATATTCTTCAAGAATCAATGGGTCCATATAATTAATGTCTAAGTCCAAAAATGGATGTAGCAACTGTTCTTTGCCACATTAAAGATAAGTTCCATTTCAGCAATTCCCATTTATTCATTATTTTCTTCCAGATGTTCTGTCCAAGCCTCAGGTGACGGTCCATGACAACAGCTCCTGTAGCGTGGTGTGTTCTGTGGAGAATGGGAGAGATGTGACACTGTCCTGGTACAGAGGAGGGAAGCTACTCAACCGGCGCAGCAGCCCTGACCTCAACATCTCCCTCTCTCTACCTCTCAAGGTGGATGAACAGAACGGAGACTCTTACAGATGTGAGGCTGCCAACCCAGTCAGCAAGGAGACCACTGTTACAAATGTCTGTATAGAGAGTGATCCCTCCAAGGTGACAGGTAAAAACATGTACAGTAGTAATGTTAAATTGCTTATATCCAGACAACACCAAATTCAATATGAAACAATAAGTATGGTAGAGCTCATTTTATGAAACACAATGTTTTAATTAAAATATTGTTTTCTCTCTTTTTACATTGGATGTTGATGAGAGGACTCTAGGTTTTCTTATTATTGCTGTAATCTGCATTGTGTTTGCCTCGGGACTTGTTGGACTTGCAATCTATCTTAAGAAGAGGAGAAACGGACATTCACAAGCAGGTATTCATCTTTTAGTGGGGTGTGGTCATTCTCCTTGTCAAAGTAAAAACATGTTGTGCACAACCTTTTAAAATTATCAAGGATAGTGTTTTGGAAAAGGAAGGAAATGTTTGCCTGAACAACGGATGCAGGTCAAATGAAGAGGCATATCTTCCACACTTCCTCTGCTTGGTCAGACAGTTACATTATCTCTGACCACTTCTCTAAATGTTGAAAAAGCAGAAGGCACATATACACACACACACAAGCACACTCTGACAATCATTACTGTATAACTTCTCTGGCACCAAAAAGACCGCTAACATAGACACAGGTACCCATTGTAACATGAGTCCTTAGTGTTTGCAGAACCTGTCTTGGGTTGAGCATTTGTGCATATCTGTCAGTTACTCCCACCCACACTGTATATTTCATTTCCTTTATTTGCCTTTATAGATTCACCTGAAAGAAAGCAAGATGACATTCACTACGCAGAGATAACTCACATTAAACCAGCAGATAACCAGGTTAGTAACAATGCTACAGGCTGATAAACATAGGAGACGTAATACAGCAGCTTTGTTACAACTATAGCCTTTAGCGCTGTGCCAGTGGGTTAATGTGGTATTGAGTTGCACAGACAACCTGAGTTTAATAACCGTCCTGATGTCATTGCAACCAGTTTTGCCCATATGAAATGGTCGTTTTGCACAATGAGAAGCCACACTGCACATATTGTATACACAGTACCAGTCAAACGTTTGGACACCTACCCATTCAAATGTGTTTATTTACATCCCTGGTAGTGAGCATTTCTTCTTTGCAAGATCATCCATCCAACTGACAAGTGTGGCTTATTAGGAGTATTTCTGTCTTTAATAAAGCCCATTTGTGGGAAAAACTCATTCTGATTGTCTGGGCCTGGCTCCCTCATGGGTGGGCCTGGCTCCTGCATGGGTGGGCCTATGCCCTCCCAGGCCCACCCATTGCTGCACCCTTGCCCAGTCATGTGAAATCCATAGATTAGAGCCTAATGAATTAATTTCAATTGACTGATGTCCTTTTATGAACTGTAATTCAGTAAAATCTTTGAAATTGTTGCATGTTGCATTCATATTTTTGTTCAGTATAGTAATGCCTTTGATCTTCCTGTGTCTTTTACAGTATTTGCCAAGTCTGTGGACATTTAAGCTTGGCTTCGTGGTTCCTCCCACTAGATTTAGGAATGGTCCTAGATGTGTTGACTGTTGAGTTGCCTACTGCAGAACAATGAGACTCGACAAGAGAACGTCAGACATGTCTTGTTTCCTTCCTCTGGTGCAAAGTATCTAATAACGAAACATATTATCCTTTTTTCTTTGTTATTTTTTGCTTTCCTATACCTCCCCCTCTCTTTCCTTGTCCCTCTCAATCCTTCCCTCCCCACCTCCCCCCTCTCCCTGTCTAGGAGGAGCGAACAAGTATACAAGGACTGGAGGCGCGTAGAGACAACCCTAACCTTACATTAGTTTATGATACACTCCAGTTACATCGCATGGCTGCCAGCGAGGATGTTAACACTGCATGAAGGAGCAAAACAGGAAGGTTCTGAGAGGGTGACATGATAATTCACATCCAAGAGAAGGCGTTACATCCTAAAGAGGACGTTAAGACAAAATTATAGTAAATATTCATCTAGAAAACTTAATGGAGGCACAGTTGTTACTGGAGAAAATTCCCATTTAACCATTAAGATGTTGTTATCATTTCAGACTTCATTTGTTGGTCATTCTCACAGTCTTTTGTTGAATTGGGGCCTCGATGAGATTCAATGATACAGACAATTTCAATAGCTATGCCTAGGGTTATTAGTAGGATGATCCCTCTTTTCAATTGCCCATTGTCCCAATTTATAGGTTAAAACAAATGGAACCTATCTTTTAATCAAATTCACTAGTGTGTTTGCTATGCTATGCTTTTTTTCAGTATTGTCTGTTCTGTTTAAATGTAGGTGCCTCCCCTGTATCTTTTTATAGCTGGTCATTGTTTAGCTAGCCAGTGGATAGCAGCTGTATACATAAAAAGCAGATGTTTGGTGAGATAAAGCCACCTACTCCTTAGAGGCAATGGCTGTTAGGCTACGTTGGAAACAAAAAGTCCATAGGTTGATTTTTTTCCTTTCACCATGTAGATTCTATTGAATTATTTCTGAGGGGTAGATCTTGATTTGCCTTTTGACTCAGAAAGGGATCTTTGGTGACATTTTAATCATTACTTTTCGCAAAATGCAGAGATATTTAAGTGTAGTTCTGGTCTTGCTTTGACGACAACTGTGTTCATGCATTTTGAATGTATGAAATTAACAGTTTTAGTTTATTATGATGGACCATTCATTGCTTGTCCTTATCTACACAGTATGTAGCTCATCATCTCTTAATAATACAATCACTCCCTCCTGCACGCTCCTGCAGACACTCCTTCTATTAGAGCATTTTGTGCTCCACCTACGTTAGCCCACATATATAACTGTGAAAAAATACAAAATCTACTGATACCATCGTGAGTTGTTGCACTGTAGGCTATTTCATTCTTATAAATTTCTATTTCAGAGTAGTTACTGAGACTGAATATTAAGATAATATAATTCACATTTCAATATTCTAAAATAAGCTCATGACTTATTCAAACTGATAAAGTGTACTGAGCTTCTTTTTTTGTTCTGAGCTTCAATATATTAAGTCAGACTTGTGCATACATTCCATACATTTCCTAATGTAAAATGGTCGTCAATCCCCCATTCATGCTTGAAAAATATACTTACCTTATCACAACCCAAAACATGATTTAAGTTTATTCCATTGTTTATATTTTTGTTTTCATTTGAGTTTTTGTAAACAAATAATGTATTACTACAATAACTTTTGAAAACTGTTAGTCTTTGCATCCATAGCTGCAGTCAAGAGTTTGAGATTGGCACAATTTCTCCAGAAGTTGGTTTTAATGTTTGACCTAGATAGTTTGTGTGTATGTATTGATATATAGGCTACGTGTGCCTTTTTTTTTATTGATGTAGTTCTGTACTTGAGCTGTTCTTGTCTATTAATGTTCTGTATTATGTCATGTTTTGTGTGGACCCCAGGAAGAGTAGCTGCAGATTTTGCAAAAGCTAATGGGGATCCTAATAAAATACCAAATACCAAATGTAGCCTACTTCTAGGGTCAAACTAAGAGGGACCACTGTAATTGTTTGGTGGTTTTCAAGTGTGTTTCTCTATTTGAGTTTAAGTGTATTTGGGACGTTTTGTCCAGTTACTTTTAATGCCAGGCAGCTGTACATTTCTAATTTGAAAAGAATGATGACGAATCCTATTAAAGTTCAAGAAATTGCTTTCAAGGAAACAATATTTTTCTTCTAACGTATTTCCCCATCTAGTGGTTGATCGTTTTCATCATCTAGTTGTTGAATGGTTTCATATTTCAGCATACTGTACTGTGCATACTACACTATTTTGTACTCTGAGCCAGTGTGCTGTATATTGTAAGTGTAACTTAAATCATTTGTCAGCTAAATGTTCTCATACCTTTCTATGCTTTTACGTTTTGACTGTGGTCATGCATTCTTGTGCCAATTGATATTTTATATAAAAACATGTCTTGTAAATTATGTTATTTTTAATTGGATTTGGTCAGAAAATATGAGTGCCTCATTTATCATTCTGTGCAAATTCAGATTGTTCAGTGTTTTGTTACAGGAAATGAGTATCAAACCCAGATTAGCCATACAGTCTTTCAGTCTGCAGCAGCATGGACAAGGTGGTCAGTACCTTTACATTTTCACTTTGATTTCTGATCTATAGCATTATGGTCAATATGAACAACTCCTTTTGGCTCCCCCTGAAACAAAGACGTTTCTGCAGCCCACACTGACAACCCCTCCTTCTTGTGCAGAGGTTTCTGGGTGTTGAACATTTTCACCAGAAACCACCCTATTTGTATACAGTGAGGGGAAAAAAGTATTTGATCTCCTGCTGATTTTGTACGTTTGCCCACTGACAAAGAAATGATCAGTCTATAATTTTAATGGTAGGTTTATTTGAACAGTGAGAGACAGAATAACAACAACAAAATCCAGAAAAACGCATGTAAAAAATGTTATAAATTTATTTGCATTTTAATGAGGGAAATAAGTATTTTACCCCTTCTCAATCAGAAAGATTTCTGGCTTCCAGGTTTCTTTTATACAGGTAACGAGCTGAGATTAGGAGCACACTTTTAAAGGGAGTGCTCCTAATCTCAGCTTGTTACCTGTAAAAAAGACACCTGTCCACAGAAGCAATCAATCAGATTCCAAACTCTCCACCATGGCCAAGACCAAAGAGCTCTCCAAGGATGTCAGGGACAAGATTGTAGACCTACACAAGGCTGGAATGGGTTACAAGACCATCGCCAAGCAGCTTGATGAGAAGGTGACAACAGTTGGTGAGGAATCAGCCCAGAACTACACGGGAGGATCTTGTCAATGATCTCAAGGCAGCTGGGACCATAGTCACCAAGAAAACAATTGGTAACACACTACGCCGTGAAGGATTGAAATCCCCGCCCGCAAGGTCCCCCTGCTCAAGAAAGCACATATACAGGGCCGTCTGAAGTTTGCCAATGAACATCTGAATGATTCAGAGGAGAACTGCGTGAAAGTGTTGTTTGTGGTCAGATGAGACCAAAATTGAGTTCTTTGGCATCAACTCAACTCGGCGTGTTTGGAGGAGGAGGAATGCTGCCTATGACCCCAAGAACACCATCCCCACCGTCAAACATGGAGGTGGAAACATTATGCTTTGGGGGTGTTTTTCTGCTAAGGGGACAGGACAACTTCACCGCATCAAAGGTACGATGGACGGTGCCATGTACCGTCAAATCTTGGGTGAGAACCTCCTTCCCTCAGCCAGGGCAATGAAAATGGGTTGTGGATGGGTATTCCAGCATGACAATGACCCAAAACACACGGCCAAGGCAACAAAGGAGTGGCTCAAGAAGCACTCAACAACATTGTGCCAGTAACCGAAAGGTCGCTGGTTCTAATCCCTGAGCCGACTAGGTGAAAAATCTGTCGATGTGCCCTTAAGCAAGGCACTTATCCCTAATTGCTCCTGTAAGTCGCTCTGGATAAGAGCGTCTGCTAAATGACTAAAATGTAAAAAATTTAATAACCCCAGAATCTTCTATCTGAAAGTCACAGAGTAGATCTCTCTGCACAGAGTAGATAACTTAGATATCTCAGGATCAACACAGTTGTCAACAAAAG